GGGTCAGCTGTCCTGGCTGTGCCCCCTCCCAGCTTCTTGTGCACCTCCAGCCTTCTCAGTCGGTAGAGCATGGGAAGCTGAAAAGTCCTTGGCTAGTGTAAGCATTACCTAGCAACAACTAAAACATCGGTGTGTTACCAACATTGTTCTCATCCTAAATCCAAAACACAGCACTGTACCAGCTACTGGGAAGGAAATTAACTCTATCCCTGCCAAAACCAAGACAAGCATGTATTTAAGTATAACATTGTAGTAGGGCAAAGAAAATGTATGTGCTATTCTTCAACTTTCACGATGCACGTTCTTTATTTGTAGAGTCCTTAGAACTCATCTTGTTAATGAATTTTTACTTGGTGGGATTTGTTCTGTTAATACTGACATTTTAATATTTTAAGTCTTTTTTTTTTCCTTTCTGTTGGTTTCATCACCTTTACATAAAATTCAAACACACCCTTCTTCTCTCACACTTCTCTAGGCTCTGTTCTTGCCAACATACAAATATTTTTTACGTGTGAAGTTCTGTATGCATGTAAACCCATTTCCACACATACTCACTAGCTACTTCAAGGGATCCTGCTTGTATACTTCACCCCAGGTTTCTCTAGCGGTACCATTCTCCCAGTTTTGTTTGTCTGATGCTGTCCGTAACAATGATTCTATTACACTAAACTTCTGAAAACATTAAGTGGAAATGGATATGCTATTTATTGCATGTAAACAAATAATTATATAGTGTTTGATATAAACTTGCTTACCCAACGGGTACTCTTTCATCATGTCTAATCCAACACAAACGGAGTCCTCAAGAAGGGAGATGTGCTTTTCTATTCGTTGTCCATATTCACAGCTGTGGCAGCGTATGTTGTGTTAAAGGTAGGGGACAGGAAAATTTAAAATTTGGTAACTTTGGTGGTTTAAATCTGTGAAGCAGCACAGCAAGAACTTGGTACAGAATAACTGGCAGAGGCTGCAGTTTAGGAGGCAAAAGCAGAGCCTGAGCTAACTTTGTTAGTCTCCTTTGAAAACAGAGAGGTGCAAGTCAGTTTGTCCTTAAAAATACTTGAAGATGTCTCTTGGACTGAAGACTTTTCAGGTGGTATGTGTGTACTGAGACTTTACGGCAAGAGTTGGGAGAAGCTTACAAAGCTCTGATTCCCATCAGAGGGAATGCCTCTATGTGCCTGAGGTCGTGCAGTGACTGATGGAGGCGGCTGGAATCGAGTGAGAAGGGAATGGAAGGCTCAGTTGCCCAAATTCAGATTAAAAAGGGCCATTTACCTTAACTCCGAGCTACACTGCCATTACTGCAGATGCCAATCAGAGAGGTTAATCTGTTACTTTAATTTAAATGCATAATATATCAAAGTGTCTAATGAATGTTTTAAAAGTACCTTTACTTTTAAATTCTACACTGTAACATATGCTTTAACTTAATAAATAAAAATATTAATTTGAGCTCCCTCTTCTGGTCCTAATAAGCAACCATTTCTACAGATACTCAGTCTCGTAAGTAAATGGGGATTTCACAACAGAATTACAAGAAACAAACAAATGTAAATAACACTGGTAAAAAAAGGTAAATAAAAATATAGAAAAAATATTTTTATTTCAGTCTTCAGAGAGATTATTACAAGCTTAATAGTGGAAGTTTATTCTACCTTCGTATTTATCCCTGTGGCTATA